AGTTTTTACATAAATATACTGCATAAAACTTCTCCAACACTCATATGGTTGTGGAGAGGTATTTGTTAAAAAATCTGCAGCCACAAGGAAAAAAAATAAATAAATCCTAATGCTTAATACATTGCTGATTACAGAAAATATTTCCTGGAGTAGGGAATCAGCTTTGTAATCCCAAGCAATGGAAAATACAGCGTGACGTATCTTAGCACCAAAATGGAGCCCTTGAGACCATATTTACCCACATGTAATAAAGCTGGTTTTAATGGTGTTCAGTTGCAGCATGTTCTTCTCTTTTGGCACTTGAATTTGGAAATCAGAAGAACAGTCTGAGTTCATCATCTTCCAGACATGCTGTACCAGAAAAGCAAAAAAGTATCTGAAGTGCCCTTATGGTTCTGAGCTTCTAAAACATTGGGATGGCACTGCAGCTCTGCCTAGTTCATTTTTGTGCCCTGGAAAGACTAAGGCAGGCTTTTCAGGTGACCAAATGTTGAGTGTGGCAGCCCAATACCTTCTGGTTTGCCTTCAAAGAGCTGAGCTGGTGTTTGCTCTACACCACACAGCTGGGGACTGCAAAGGGTTGAAGCCAAGAAATGGTGATTTTCCAGTTTAAGGCAAATTAGCAGTTTACCCAGAGTGAAATATTATTGGGTTTTAGGTGTCTAACTTACTGAGAAATTTTGTAAATCCTACCAGATATTCAAATACTTGTGGCAGTGTGGGATAGGCCATCTCAGCTAGGTCATGCATCTGCTAGATGCTTCATTAAGGACAGAGTGTATAACCATTTGCCCTGATTTCTTTGGTTAGTGAGGGCACACAGCAATTCTAGGAAGTTTCTGCACCCTACACAATCAAACTATCAAGAGCTACTGCATATGATTAACATGGTAGAGCTGGAGATCCTGAAATCTTTCGCAGAGCTGAGAGGCCATCATGCCTCTGAGAGGTGGGAAAAACCAAGGTCTGGTGATCTTGGCATTGAGAAAAAAAATGAGCTGTGTTTTTGAGCTGGAAAGGGAAGAGCTCTGAAATTAAACAGAGCATTTTTCTTCAACATAGGAGAGGAGCATCCATGACAACAGGAGGAAGGCAAGACAAACAGTCAGAGAACCACAGATATTCCCCAAAGTTTATGAGTTAATCTAATTTCAGAGACTGGTGCTTTGGGCCTGCAGACTGGGAACTGGCTGGTTCTGTCAGGCTAAGTGCTGAGAGGGTTGGGAAGGGAGCAGGGACCTGCCCATGGATCTATTCAACCTGACTGAGTGCAAGCTCAAAAGAAGTCAGTGCAGATGAAGACAGGCAGGTACCACACACTCTTCAACCATCTACTTTTGCTCCAGAAATGCCCATTCTTGGTCCTACGCCTGAAGAGATACCAGTAACACCCTTCTTGCAGAAGTAAAGTGGCCTGTGTGAATGTGATGAAGCTCAGCATCTAACACCCCAAAAGCAACAATAGGATTGTTCCTCAGCCCTTGGTAATGGTCTTAGATGACCATGAGTTCAGCACTTCAGTGGGGGCCTTTTGTAGCTGATAAAACAATAACTTCAGGCCTGGATGCCAATTTCAGAACAGGGTGAGGTGAAAATGTGGCTTCACCAATGTCACCACTGTATCTGTGAAGTTCCACCAGCTCTGAATTTAACTCAGAATTGGGGCTGAACCAAAAGAAAACTTCCAATATACTTCTCCATTGCAAAGTAAAGTGATATCTTACCCTAAAAAGATTTGGTTTCCAGCATCTCCTTTGAAGTACATTACTCTAAACCCTTGTTAATGGTCCAGAACTGAAATAAAGTTCAGGCAAGAGTAAGTAGTTCCTCCTGATCTCTGCTCAGGCTGTGACAATACGAACATCCTGTCCAATCAAGCTTTGTACAATCCATTTTCCACTTGCTTAAGAAATTGTCTAAGAAGTTCAGATCCAGCTTTTCTGGAAGACAATCAGTGCAACAGAAAACAGCAGCCCCACCTTCTATTTCTTCCCAACCTTCAGACTATAATAAATGATAAGGCATTTAACACCCAAAGCACTTTTAGGAGACAGATTTCAGGTTAACATCTTCTTAAAAAGGACAGAGTGATGAATGAGAGGACACTGAAGAACAGTACACATTGAAAGAGAGAAAAAACTGAGGAAATAAAAGAGCCGGTGCAAGCTAAAATTAAACTCTTTTTTTTGGTTTTGTTTAATAGGTGAGTTTTAAATACGACTAAACTTCCCTGAACAATCAGTAAAGATTCCCATGTGCTGGGCTCAATGCTTCACCCATCCTCTGCTTGGTCAACATCAGAGCTGGTTGCTCTCAGAGTCTACATCTGCTCCCCAGCCGTGCCTCCAAGAGTACTTAGCTGCCGTAGGAATATCTACAGTTACAAGGTTGTTGGAGAAAGAATGATATTCTTGCAATGTGTCCCAGGAAGTGTTAAATGTCTCTGACAAATCCCAGCGGCCAGAAACTCCAAAACCATCAGAGCAGCAAAGGATGCACAGAAGAAACTGGTAAAAAAGGATCAGTGCTGGGATGCTGTTGAGCAAATAGCCATTCTGCTTCCTTCCTTGAAATGTCCTCCTACACCAGTCCTCCTGACAGCAGCCTTTTGGGAGGTATCTCCTGCTGACAGAAGTTATACCAGCCATTGGAGGGACTAGGCTGAAGTGAGAAGAACCCTCCTTGTTCTTCTCAGCTGTGCTCTTGTTTTGCTGGGCACAATCCCCTAGTCTTCAGGGATGAAAAAAGGAGTAACATTTTTAGGGAACCCTAAGAGGGATCCAAACCATTTGTCAAACCAGTTGCATGGACACAGTCCACTGCTACTGGCAGTAGAAAAGCCATTCTTGAAACACAGTTTTTTGATGTTTGCACCACTACAGAACCCTATTCCTGGACTTCAGAGAAACAGAAGAAAACCATTTGACAGAGAGGTGGCTACTTCTGTTCCCTTCAGTTGATTAAAACTTGAACAAGATCTTCTGTACAAGATCAGAGCTGAAAACAGATCCAGTCCTGCTGATCTTTTATGTAAGGAAATGTTTAAGTCTCAGAGGTCGGCAGGATCTGGCCCAGCCTGCAGTGCTTGCACTCATCATGTTCCTCAGTGGCAAATCAGGAAATTCACTGAAAGACAGACTAGAAGTCCTCAGTGAGACATGGCAAACAGAGTCAGTACTTCTTGCCTAACACATGCCCGAGGGCACGCAGAGATGTAGTCCAGAATGTTTATTTCTGAGGTTTACCTTCTTTAATCCAAAGAATTTAAGGAGGAAACTGATGAAGCAGAAACCTATAGCCTGGTGTTCATCACTAGGTTCTTCTGAGCCCACAGTGGTGACTATCTGATCCAAGTTCACTCTCAACATGTGGTAAGTGCCTGAGGTGGGGGTTAATCTGCTTTCAGATTTAGGGCTAGAAATGGTATTTCTTTTCGTAGAGTTTTTCACTGAGTGGGCTTTGGCATCAGAGCACTGCAACAGAGCTGTGTACAACTTCCAAGCTGAGCTCCCCGAGGCCAGGGAACAGGGATCTCTTTATGGTTGGAGAACAAAAGTCTGCTGAACTCAGTGGTTTCCTAAGAAATCAGGCTAAAACTCAGCATGAACCATCCAATTCACTTTTTGAGGGAGGGATTCACTTGCACCTTAAAAGTCAGACCAAAATTCAGACTTGGTCCCAGTTTGGTTCCTGCTTTTGGGAGATTTTTACACCATTGTGATGCCACCAACGTCTGCTGAATTACAGCAAATTCGGGCTCAACACATGACCAATGGGGTCCTACATGCCTGCAAAGTAAATAGCAAACACTTGTATAAATACAACTGAGGCAAACTTAAGGTGTCCAACCTATTTCTTCACCCTCTCTGGTGCTTAACCTTGCTTGGCATGATGCAAGCCCCCAGTTTCACTGGCCAGGGTGGCATTGGGACAATTTAGGGACTTTATATAGGTCGAGTTGGACCAGATCCCTGGCTGGCCTAAAGCACCGTGGTGTAGGCAGCCTGAAAACGTTGATGCTTTTAATTTCCACCTAGCAACCAGAACCATGAAGGTGCAAATGAAACCAGCATTCACCCATAGTGTCATCAGTAAATTGCAATAGCCTTTTTTTTTTTCAATCCATGGTGCTCAAAGTCAGGCCTTTAAAGTGACTTGGATTTAGGAGGATGGGCTTATCTATAGAAGCTTTCATGCATGTTCTCATACAAGAATGCAGCTCTGCACAGATCCCACCACAGAGACATTCAGCTTATTGTGCATGGCCAGCCCAGCTCAGGACATGTTACTGTGCACCAGCTCCTCTTGCATCCCTGCCAAATCTCTGCAGCTTTGTCTCATACTGCAGAGAGACCGTGGGTTGAGTCCTCTTTTATAAATCACTCAGGAATAACAAACAGTGTATGACTGGTGTAACACTTTTTCCTTTTGTGAGAATGGAGAGGTGGGAGAAAAAAAAAAGCCCATTGATCACTAAGATCAAATTTGCAGTAAAGCCCAGGTAATGCTACAAAAAAATCACTGGCATTTCAATATGAAAAAAGTGTTTTAAGAGTGGGTTGAAATCATTGTTCCTGTCCAGAAATTGACTTAGACAAACCATCAGCATCCATTAATGTCTCATCCTTCTCCTTGGGAATGCATCTGCCATTGGTAAGTTCTTTTTAACAAATAAGAAACCATCTGATCCATGCTGGCCTTGCATGGATCCCACTGCATAACGAGTTGGGGAGGCTCAAGTGAGAGATGCCAGCAGTCTCAGTGTGCTTTATAAGTACAGAAAAATCAGTTCATTTCATTGCTAGGTTTTTGTTGTGGTTGGTTTGTGGGGTTTTTTTCCTTTTTTTTATCTTCCCTACAGATTAATTCCTGGTGCTTCCAATTCCATGTGTTCTTGGAGAAAAAAAGAGAGAAGGGGGAAAAAAACCCCTGTGAACAATTTGAAATGTTAAAAAAGAGAGGGAACAAGAAGAAGTATGAAAAGAAAAAGAGAGGGGCAGTCAGTTGGCATATTGTGCATAGAAAGCAACTTTTACTCGCTCGATCTGGTGGCACAGTTTGATGGCAGGACCAAGTTTCAGTGTCAGCAACAGAAGGGCTTGGCCATCGATGTCCTGAGAAAGGAAGAGACAAGGAAAATGGTTGTGTTTGTGGATTCTAGAGGACAGAAAATTTAACCAGGTCTAGAGAAGAAAGAAGGGAAGTTTGTTCCAAAAATTAAAGGTGACTTTGTCCTCTGCCCTTTTCTCCTACTTTGATGCTGCCCATCTCCTTCCTCTAGGGTACCTGATGCTTTTTCAGAATTTATCTAGTGCTCACAGGCTTCATAGGCTCTCACCTTGCCCTCAGGGTAGGAAGAGCCTCCCAGCTGCTGAAATGCTGCCTAACCTTCTACAGAAACTCTGCAGGGTCCATGGAGACCTGATTAGTCCCATTTTATGACTGAGGAACTGAAGCAAGAGAGAGGCTGCAGAGAGCCCACCAGGAGATACAATAGGGAGTGGAATGGAAAACCTGAAGCTGGTCCCACTGTCAGTCAGACCCTTCTCCCACTGCTTTTGGTCTGTGACTTGCTCAGCACACGTTTATGTCTGCCTTGCTCAATGCTGTGTCCTCTGGTCAACCCAGGACCTGCCTTGTTCCACTTTGGCTACTGAACAACCAAGACAGAGGAGCCTGGACCACACAGAGTGGTGCAGGCTGGAAGGAAGCTCTGAAGGTCACATCCTTCCTTCAGGTATATTTATGCATCAAACTCCATGAGCTAGCACCCCATGACAAAAAACATTTTGCTGGGGATTTCTATTGGGTTTATGATCCTCTTGTTAATTAAGAGCTCATGTGATCTTTTAATGGACTGAGAAGCAGATGAGCAGGCTACAAAACTACTTTACTCCTTAGGAAGGACCAGAATCTAAACACAGCAAAAAAACTGTAACTCACAGGAAACATAAACTCCCCAGGATGGCCCTGATTAGGTAGCACTAAACACCAGGAGGATTTGGACATCTTAAGCACTGATTTGATCAGGGCTGCCCATGGCTCAGGCTCTTCCTCCCCTGAAGCTTGATGGCCTGGCCCATTGCACCAGAGCTTCCTTGCACATCACAAGGATAAGCTCCAGTCATCTGTGTTTGATTAAAAGGCCCCATAAAACTCCCTGGCAAAGGACAGGCAGGGTTGGCTTTCAGGCCCTGGTGTTATTCCAGGCTGATTGACAGACAGTTGGAGCAGTGAATCCAGCATCTTGCTACAGAGTGTTTCAGCCTTGGTCTAGACTCACACTTCAGCTTCTCCCAGCCAAAGCAGCTGTACTTGGGGCCAGTTATTCATGATCAAGAATCAGAGGTAGCTCAATGTGCAGTTGGCCACAGCACTGACTGCCATCGGCTACGGCCTAATTAACCACACTTGTTTCTTTCTTACTATGATTAGCACTGCTCGTTACTTGGCTGTTACTCATTAGCCAGGGAAAGGCTGTTTCTGTATAAATTTTACACATTCATGCTCACTTGAGATGTAGAGCATTGGCTCCTGCAAACCCATCTGCTTAATGGGGAGATGCCTGGCGTCTCCTAAAATGAGGTCATCCAAGGGCCTGATTGCCAGATTTTCAGAGAGATGTAGATGGGAAGTAGGTGGCTACAATATTTGAAGTATCTACATGTTAGTGACAAAATTCAGAAAGGCAGTTTTGGATTAAAGCAGCATGTTTCTGCTTCCTGGGCCAGTATTTTAAAACAGGGTGGAACCCATGCAGCCAAGAGAGCGAGCTTGTTAGGTACCAAATAACAACTCTCTTGGTACACTGGGGTCCCTTTGTGACACCAGGATGGTGCCATGGACCTTGGCATGAATAAGAAAGTTCTAATCCTCCTGCTTCTCACAAGCACGCCAGATGAGGTGTTCCTGGTCTCATTGACCATCTAGCAATTCAAGTTTCCAAAGTTTTCCACGCCTTGCCTCAGTTTATGCTACAGCTTGGCCTGAGGGGATCTCAGCTCTAATCATAAACCCCTTGACCTTGCTCTGGGCCCAGCTGCCAGGCTGGTACATGCTGCTTTTTAATGTGTGTGATGAGAATAAGCACCACAGACACAAAGACAAGAGTTACATGAAGACCTCTACCTGCTCCTGAAATATTTTGGCAAGAGGTGCACAGTCGGTCAGTTTAATAAACCTCACAACATCAGTCACAGTCCACTCCAATGGGTTACTGTCCAGAACGAGCTTCTCCTCCTCTTCTTGCTTAATTTCCTAAAAAAAACCAACAAACCAAAGAGATCTCATAAAGAAAACTACCTTGTGTGGAAAACCGGGCCAGGGATGCCTTCCTCAGATGAGGAAGGCCTGGCACTGAAGGTTAATTTAGGAAGAATATTGCTATTAATTAGGAGGGAAAGTGGACAAACTCACCTCCTTGGCTTGCGTGGCCTTCTCCTCGCTGTAGGAGAGGGGCTGTGGCCTCCGGCTCCGCCGGGTCCTCTCGGTGGGAGCAGGTCTGTCCAACTCGGTGCTGCTCCTCAAGGTGACAGCTCGCCGGGGCCTGGTGGAGGGGACCTCAGCAGAGGAGGTGTCTGTCTGGTCATCCCGGAGCTCTGAACTGGTTTCCTCACTTCCCGTCTCATCCTCCATCGCGTCCGGCTCCTCATCTTCGCTCTCCTGCACAAGGACCATCAGAGAAACAGCGTCTGGGCTCAGAGATTCATACAGCAGTAAATCAAAAGGCACTGGGTCAAACTGCATCCCCCTGTCCATGCCAGTCCAGGATAACATCTATTTTAACCTAATTATCTCATTTTCATTACAGTGCTAAAACAGATTAGCCCTCAATTTAGATTTGTTACAGAATGTAGAAGGAAAAAAACCCAAACAAGCACGTGATGGACAAATCCTTCTTCTGTTTCTAACAAAAGGTCAAGGGCAATAACTCATCTGGCATGAAATGTTCCTCTGTTGGGTCAGCTTCTCAAACCTTGAGGTCCTGCAGATGTGCATGAGAAGGGGAAATGGAAAATGCTAAAAGGATAAAATGAAACTCAGGTTGCTTGAGATGAAACAAAATCTGAAATAGGCTTGGATTTAAACCCTCACCTTACTTCCAACTCAACATGAGGAAGAACTTTGTAACTGTGAGGGTTACAGAGCACTGGGACAGGCTGCCCAGAGAGGTTGTGGAGTCTCTCTCTCTGAAGACTTTCAAGACCTGTCTGGATGCCTTTCTGAGTGACCTGCCCCAGATTCTTTGGTGATCCTGCTCTGGCAGGGGGGGTGGACTTGATGATCTCCAGAGATCCCTTCCAACCTGTAACATTCTGTGATTATGTGATTCAGATTGTCAGGCCTGTCACTGGTATTGAAAGGAAGGAAATTATGGCACTTAAAAAAAATATCTGGCTGTACAGGTGTGCACCAGTACTTGATTTCTTAGCTGGCACTTCTGTAAAAACCCAGGGCAGAGGATTTCACCCAGATTTCCCTTTCTTCAGCCTGACACCTAACTGCTGGAGGCGAAGCAAAAATTTCCATTTAAAGGATATTACACCAGATTCTTGTTATTTCTGTCACACAGAGCTTGCAAGCACACACCAACTGATGGGAACTCTGTAGTTTGTACTTTATATATATGTAAGTGGCCCAAATGGCTTCGACAGCTCAGCTCTGATCAAAGTGTGAGCGTGCACCCAAGTCGTATGCTCAGTGAAAGAACAATTTCAGATGACATTAATTATATTGGTTGAGAGATTTAAAAATGTGGCTAATGGTTAATTTAAGCTTAACATGACTTTATTTCAGTTTGAATTCCTTTGAAGCAGGTATAATCTAAGGAAATGAAGCAGAACTGCACCTAAAGGAGGACAAAGTCACGAAAACGCAAGCAATCAACTGAAAGCTGCCTAAAATATCCCCCTCCCTCTGAAGCACAGGGAATTTATGTAAATCAGTTTTATCTCACGTTGCACAAAGCAGCAATTACTGGCACTCAGCTGAGGAAGTGAAACTACACATGAACTTGGTTACGATCATGGGAAAACCACCTGCAAATGGTCCACACAGAACTGAGTCTGCTCCAGGTTGTATCTGGACATTGCTGAAGCTGGGATCCCATCATAACCAGTAAACACAGTTTACTGGAAAGACTGAGGCTTGAAATACCATATATTTGGGACATAAGCCATTTGCCTGTATTCTAAAGCTTCTAGAAAGTTTATTGTTTGGCATTGTGAAGGAAAAAATATTATGAATGGCTAATGAAAAAATAACAGCTGTTGAAAACATACTGGCCCAGGAGTTGGTTTAATTTATTATAATATTTAGAGATCTTAGACATGGATCACAGGTCTCCTTCACTCTGCTAGATGCTGCACAAAGCATCTAACAGGCTCATCTGTCCAGCTTAGAGATATATAAGGAAGCAAAACAAAACAAAGATGTAATATTAGACAGCAGGTTAGCTAGTGAGCATCATGAAGGTGGAAGCAAAATCTCTACTTTGCCACCTCTAGAAAGGACAAGGGTTAAAGCCCCCAAAATGCCCCAATAAAACCATCCTGACCTTAGGAGAACAGGGTAGCGAGGAGGGATTAAAAAGGAAAATGGAGGTGTTGAAGTTCTCTGAGAAGTCCCTCAAAAGGAAGATGCAGATGGGAGGACAAAAAAGCACCAAGGGGCTTTGCTGATTTACCCCAGTGCAACACAAACCTCCGCAGAGCCTGCAGCATTCACATCGACAGCTGATGACCTCCTCTTCTTCTGCACAAAGATGGATTTCCGCCTTTTTCTGCGTCTGGCTGGCTTGACATGTCCACTTTTCATGTTGTTATTTTCCCCAATTGGTGGTTTAATGATTTTTTTCCTCTTCCCATAATAATAAGCTGCAGAAACAAAGCAAAACACCCATTAAAAACTTTAACCACCAACAGAAGGAAGCTTTGGCTTGCTTCTTGCTACTGATTCAGTACTGCACTCTAGGTGCACCTTTATGAGAAACTTTAAAATACACTGACTTGGAAAAAAAGCCCAGTGTAAATATAAGATGTCATCTTGGACTAGAGTTCTCAGAATTTAACCCTACTTAGAGAAAGTTTCCACTAAGCCAAGTAGTGATTTGGAGGGAGAGAGAGGCCAGCATCTTTTAGATTTGGTCCAGTTCCCTTCTGCAGGAGTTAACAGTCTCAGACACACTTTCAGTTGCTAATGTTTTCAGCAGAGTGGAGAGGATCAGCTATTCTGAATTGTGCATGTTTGCTCAATGCACAAAAGGATGGGTTTATATTGCCTTTGGCTATTTCATGGCCCAACTTGAAATTAAGGATGTGAGAGTCCTCTGTCCTGACATTAGATGCTTTTTGACATGCTCTACAATGTCCTCTGGGGCTGACAGACACTTGGCCTCTTCTAGCTAGGGTATCCCAAGATTACTCAAACGGCACTTGGCTAATCATGCCAAAGTTAGTAACTGAACTGAGTCTTTCAACAAATCAATGGAGTTTTGAGGAGCAATTCATCCAGACACACACAACCATCAACTCTGAGATGAGACAGTCTCAGCTGGAGCTCCCCTAGCTGTACTCCTCCAGCTTTCCACTTGGTAACAGTGGGAGCTAGGAGTCTACCTCAGGTGTAGGCCTCAACAGAAACCCATATTCAGTGATCTGAGTATCACCCATTTCCCTTTCTACTTGGGCACCAAACAGAAACTAATCAGTTTAAATCAGTCATACTGATTTCTGGCAACCTTTGTGGAAGAAAGGCAGCACTCACTTCTACTTTCCTGTTCCCTTTAAGAGCCAATTATAACAAGTAGTATTGACAACAGAAAGTATTGGAACACATACCTAACTTCAGCCTTCCTGAACAGGCAGGAATATGTTTAATATATTCAACCCCCCAAGCAGAGTCAATGCGACCAAACTCCATCCAGAACCTTCGTAATATGATGCTGGCCCATCTGCCAGCAACTCTTCACTGAGAAGAACAGGATTCATTTCACCTAACAAAGGTGTCTCAGATGTAGCAGTTTAAATCTCAGCTGGCCACTGCAGGTTCCTTTTAGGTGCTCCTTATATTAACTTTGCATCTAAATAAACGCCAAGGCTTCCAAAGAGTAATGACTTTAAACCAGGTATTTTTGGGAAGCAGTGAGACGGAGATGCTTATTTATCTGCACAGAATACTACAGGAGCCTAGAGTGGCCTGACCAGGATTAAATAACTGCTCATGGATGAGATGAATCCTACTCAGTATCAGTGCATTACACACCTGCTGTTCTTCATCACTAGCTCATGCAGCATCTCCCACTGCTCTGATTCCCATCTGACAACAAAAAGTATTTGGGCCCATACTCACTGTACTTGGTTTTAGTGTGAATGGAGCAGTTCTCTGGGCAGACTTCAGCCACCAGAACTGGACTGAACAAGTTGGGGCAGCACTCCAACTTGGCACAGACTCTTCTGCAGAAATCTGCCACCTGATCCGACGTCCGCACGATCTTAACAGTCGCCCTGTAGGTCTTCCCTCTGTATCTAGAAAAGAGTACAACACCACCTCATGTCACCAAACAAATTATGTCCTTCAGTGCTACTTTCCTTTGTTGGACACATCCTCCTTAATGACTTTTGGAGGAGTGCCTCTCTTGGGAAGGTAGGCAGAATAGATCTACTTAATTAGTGGCTCTGTTTCAGAATTGAGGAAGGAAAGGCAGGGCACAATTATTCTGGAATCAGAGATGTGGAAATGATTTGGGGAGAACAGTGAAGACTACATATATCTGTATATATGGCAAGAGACAGAAAAAAACCACAGTAGGCTTGGTGAGGAGACTACAGAGGACAGCAAGCCCATACTACCAACTGATGCCAAGTTTTGGGGAGAATGATGTAGTCTCTCTTAATATATTGACCTGTGATGAGAAGCTGGTAAGACTTACAGAGTTTTCTGGTCACCATCCTGTGTTTGGGAGAATAGACTCTCTGTTACCCTCAATATACCTTTGATCTCCATTGCCATCTTCCTCAAGGCAGCTCTCCTATCATGTTCCAGCTCCCAAGCAGCCCAGTTTCATGTGCCAGCTGTGGTTACTGGGATACACACACTGTGTAGAATTATCTGAGTGAAACCACCCTCTGCCACGTGGGGACCAGATGACTTTGCCACTATGAGATGTGGGCAATACAAAACCCCAGGAACTCATCAGGGGTCTTTTTGAGCTGTTTAATGGGACTGCAGGAACAGGCTCTAAAAACTGATTCCTACAGGGAATGCTCAGAGCAGGAATCTCCAATGAAATGTTTGTCTTAAATTTGTTATCCATGCACTACTAAGTCATTTATTTCAGCGTTTTATATGAAGTGTTTCTGAGCGATAAATGGCTAAGAAAGATATAGTTACATCCCTGCTGTATTACATTGTAGATGTGAACTCTGAAAAAGCAATTATCCCCATAATTTATTAAACAGCAGCACCAAGCTATTGTAAACACTGAGATAAGGTTTTTAAAACATCTCTTGCACGTCCTGAGGAATGCAATACGAGAGACAATTGGGCCAGCGCCTGGTGCTAAGGCATTGTAAATGTGCTTAAAGGAGAGAAAAGTTACAGACACAAAAGAATAAAAAGGGAGAGACAGTGAAAGAAAGATTGCTGGATGGGAGGCACTAAAAGACAAAGATACAGTCATCAAGGAAAAACGAGACAAAGCATTTGTGAGTGTATTTATACACACAGCTCCCTAGCAGGGAAGCAGCTGTCAAGAGTCGGATATGGAAGAGGACAAGGAGGAGAAGGTGAAACAAAGGAGATGTGGCTGGAGGGTTAAATACACAGAGTGCTCCCAGATTCTGTTCCCTCTCTGAAGATTTTACTGAGTTGCACAAAGCAACTGAGAAACCACCTTTTGCTGCTCTCCCTCCCAACAGCTCTTTACGGAAACACTGGAGCACGGGAAAAGGGTTTGAAACTATGGTACATGAAGTGTCATACAGGGGTACCCAAATGGCATCTAGGTCTGAGAAAGCACAGTTCAACCGTTCTCATGATGCAAAGACCTGATCCAAACTATCAGCTCAGCACAAAACTCTTCCACAACCTGTAAGAGCATTTCTGCAAGGCACCAGGCTCTGATACCCCATTTGGTGCCTGACCAAGGACCCTGGTCATGGAGACAGTCCTGGATACATTCACTCTTCAGAATGAACCAATCATTTCATGAAATAGTAAATTAATTAGCCAGCACATCATGCATCCTGGCAGACCTGGACAGATGACATAAAATGTAAAAACTGTTCCTTCCAAATGCAAAGCACTGTTACCCCAGCTCCCCTATGGAACAGCTGCACAGACAGGCTGGCTAGAGGGGGGTTGGCAATAGCAAGTATTAAAAGAAAAATTCCACAGCCACTCAAATGTACCTACTTATAAACATTTAATATTTCTTTTCAATGGGTTTGAAAAGACTCCTGCACTTAGTACTTCTCCAGGAGCCATGAAGTTTAATGATGGTTCAGCTCATTAGGCCAGTAAGTGTGACTCCTGTGGCAGGCTGCAGAATTTCCTTGTGTTACCTTCACCTGAACCCCAAAAACTCTGGTTGCACTATAGCATCACTTTCAGTACAACAGCAGCCTCCCTGAGGGTGTCCATACTGGAAGAATCCTGGCAGTGGGAGCACCTGTACCAGCACCTGATGAGCCTATGCTTCATTTTATGTCTGGATGTGCCTGGATTTAACTTAACTTGTGCCTGGATTTATTTGTCTTTGTTCTGACTTTCACTACTAGGATAAAAAGACTGCATCTGGTTTTGTTTCCCTGCAAAATCACTGTAATCACATTGCCTCTTGATCTTCCTTCTTATAAGCTGAGAAAGCTGCCTGATGGGTATTATTCAAGGATGGCTGACTTTTTCTAACTGTGTGCTTCCCATTGTGTTTGGCTGCCCAGAAAGGACCCATTATACTAAAGTGCCTAGTGAAAGAAAAAAGATGAAACCAGGAAAATAAAAACCTGACTGATTTCACAGTTTGGTTTGAATGCAACACACATAGCAATTAACAGAATGGATGGCAAAATGGAGATCAACATGACTGCAGCAATCAGCCTCAATAACCCAAGGTGTTAGCACTGGCTGCAGTAATATTTTTTACATTATTTTGGATTTGGCAGCACCTCTTTCAGCTATAAACCAGGATCTACTAATATTTTCCATATTCCTCATACACTAAAGATTTTTAACACAAACACCACCAAATGTAATCTGAGCAGTTCCAGGACAGCCATGTGGAAAGAGCTCCTTTGGATATAATCAGAAAACTCTCTTCCATTAGCACTGCTCAAAATTTGCCAACTACTAATATTCTAATTGATGTTTTCATACTAGGACCTCTATCTTCCCAACCACTTTTAAGCAGCAAGTAACCTGCATGCACAGCATGGCAGTACTGGAGACTTGGAAAACAGCATGTCAAGCATAACATTTTCAGTTTTCTTAGAAATCACTGTTCTTTTAAAATAGACTTTTCAGCTAAAGAAATCTTCCTTTCCTCTCCTCCTTTATCTGCTCTCAGATCCCAAAAACTGGAGAAAGGCTGAAACCATTTCCATGAAAACTATACTCAGGATCTTTGCTGATCCATGAGCAACAATATTAAGCTAACAGCACTTTTCTGGCAGTACCAATATTCTGTTGAAGCTTCCTTTGGTGATAAAATAGACCAGAGGTTCATGAGAACAAAATGTCTCCTAGGAGCTCCAGTTAGGGACCATTGTGTGGTGAGGTAAAAAGCCTCATGCTGAAGCCACTTTGAACAGCTAGAGCATTGAGACTACCCTCATTTTCAAAGGTCTCATCCACAGTTCTGACAATGGTTCAGACAATTTTGAATAGTTTAGTGGCTAAAAGCCTAAATTTCCTTTTGGGAGACCAAAAACTCCTATCTGATCTTTTGCAATAAATCTCCAGTTTGTCTGACTAGCTTCAAGTATGCCAAAGATGAGAAATCTCCAGGAAACACCAGCTACCCACAGCACACAACCAGAGTGTCCCTGCATTGGATCTACCAGAAGCAATGTACCAGTATAGCAGCAGAAATTGTCCAACATCCACTTCATTATGTCTCAGTCAGACCCTGCTTGGGTGGGCCACTGCAAGTGCCAACAACAGAAAACCCTTAAAAGTCTTAAACATAACTCTGATACTCTTGAAGCTCCTGTCCTGGTTTGAGCCAGGATGAAGCCAATTTTTCTTTTTACTGATTTTTTTTTTCTTCAGTAAGCTCTCTTGTAACTAGCAACAGTGTGTTCTGCTAGGCTGATAAGACAGTGGAATGTTTTTCTAACTACTGAGGCTTCAAGGCTGCACCTGCACTCTGCCAGCTCAGACACTATGGGGAGATCTGTGACCCCCCCGTAGGAGGCTGAGTTAGATGGACAGCAAAATTGGCCAGAGATATTCCATTCCATATATCTACGTAAGCTCAGAGGAAGGTCAGAGATCACAGAAGACAACTTCCTTCCTTCTTCTCCCCTTCTCTTTGGTCCATGGCCAGCGTCCGGGGAGGACTCTGTTCATCCATCACCGTCGATCCTCAGCCTTGATCTCTCGTGACCCCCATAACTCTCCGCTTTCTCCAGCAGCAGCTCCGGGATTCCTCGGGACTCTTCCCAGTTCAGGGAAGTGCTGTGGGAGTTGCTGGGGTGGGGGGAGGCGAGAGGCTTTTGCCCATTCCTGAACATATCTGTACATAATTGTATATATTTTCTTGTATGATTCATTAGTGTTTTATTTAAAGCTGTGTAGTTTAGTTTTCAATCCAGCAAAGTCTCTCTCTTTTTCTCTCTCTCCTTCCCTACCTGGGTTGGGGGGAGGGGGGATCGAGAGCATTGTTGTCGGACCTGAGTCAAACTGTGACAGCTCCTCAGTGTACCTCAAATACCAAGGATTCTACAAATAATCTAAGTCTAGATAAGAATGTTGTAGTTATCTTCCTGCAAAGCTATTTAATAATCCAGGGTTCTCCTTCTTGCCCTTCTTGAGGTAGGGTGTGATGTTTGTCTTTCCTCAGACATCAGGGAATTTCCCTGATCATCAACTTGCAAACAAGTCAGTGAATGGTCTTGCAATGACATTGGCCAGTTCTCTCAAGCAGAGCTGGCTGCATCCTATCTGATTCCATGCACTTGTGCACATCCACTTTGCCTATAGCACCTCTAGCTTCTTTCCATCCACTTCACTCCCTCAAACAGTAACAGGGACCCGGGAGGCCTGAGAGCAACCCTTGCAAACAAAGGCTCAGGCACAGATGACTTTTAACATCTTGGTATCATCTGCCACAAGTGAAAGGCACCCATGGTGAAAACATTCTAAAGCATCCATGGTGAAAACACTTCATTTGAAATGCAGCTTCCTAAACAAGCAATGGTGTCTGAGATGGGGGGATCAATATTCCTGGAGTTCAGCTACTGCATTTGGGCAGCTCTCAACATTAAATTTAATAAAACACTCCAAGAATACTCCTCTTTTTTATTTTGATTAGCTGAGCTTCATACAAGGCCCAGGAGGTAACTCTCTGCACACACTGGTAATTATTTATGTCCAAAGTCCTGCATAAATGGGGAAGGTCAAACAACCCCACTTACAGCTCTTGGAAGTGAAAGCTCATAGAAAGCATAAAGTCCTTCAAGTATTTTATGTAAGACTGAGAAGCCAAATCTAGATGTAGGCACAGAACTTAAAGCATCTAGAACAGCTGGATGCTCACAGCTTCATCTGGCTCTCATGGGAACTCAGAGGATTTGGTCTGACAATTCTAACTCATCATCACCACTAAATCAGGTCTGACTCCTCACACTGAGCCGGCAGCGCTGCTGGGACGCCACTGCCATCACACTCTGCAGACACATCTCTTCAGACAATCTAAATTGTTTATCTTCTTTGCAAGGCTCATGTAATTTATCCTGTGCTGGTCACACAACACAGGAGAGCAAGCTAAACGCAGGCTGCCCTAGGACTGAGATGATGAGTTCCTGCCAGTGCATGATGTAGCATTTGGACCAGCTCCTCTTCTCTGTCCTCCTTCCTCCCCTTTGCTCCACCCTATTGCAGCCATCACAGCAAACAAACAACAACATTGGCAAGATCCAAGGAGCTGTCAATTCACATCAGAAGGAAGGTGGTGACACAACATGTCACATTACAGCAGAGACACTCCAGCTGGCTGTAGAGCTGTCATCATTAGCAGCAAGACACCACCAGGAGCTGGTGTAGCTGCACTCAGTGTAGACAGGCGTTTGCTCGTTATGAGTCTCTGTTTCTGATGCTGGAACACAGCTGATTGTCACACCTGATGTAATATGTCATGTGCTGTGTGCACATCCCTGTGTATCTGACTTCATCAGCATGTTTTCTTTTTTGCTTCTGCAAGACCACATGCAATTAAAACCTCCTCGATGAAGCGGCTCAAACAAAGGCAGGATGGAGAAAAGAAGGAAGTCCCACAGTAGCCAAGAAGCTTTAGGGCATGTCAACTCTTTGACACCCACTCTAAGTAGTACTCAAACTGCTCACAGGTAACCTGGCATGATGAGCAGGCACTGCTCTGTGAACCGAGCTCCAGACTCAGAAGCCAGACAGCTACAGCAACACGGTGCATGAAACATGGTGCTTCAAGAGCTCCGTCTCCTCTGGAGCCAGAGGACAATGCCACACTGAATGAGAACACTTTTCTAGGCTTAGAATTGATTCTACAATTCCAAGCCACTCCAGAACCTGCTGTCCCAGCTCTGAGACTGTAATGACCCACTCTGTGGCTTGATGAAGTTGAAAGATGCTGCACGACTCGCTGAAGAGCTGAGGTTGCTGCCTCCTGGGGTAGCCACCACACAGGAACATCTTCCCAGCCTGTGTCTGGCTGACCAAGTTAAACACAAAACCTCCTTGCTGGGAAGCACCAGTATGTTTTTATCTGGCAGGCTATGTGGATATAAAGGCTATCCTAGCAGGGTAGCTGCCCTGCTAAATAGATGGAAGGAGGAAACAGACACAGGAATGAATGGGGTAGGAGTGACATAGGGCAAGGTAACAGAGATGGAAGAGCTCATTGCAATATAATGAGCACATCAGGCAACAGTGAGGGAGGATAAACAGTTGATATGGATGAGTGACAATCTCTAGCAGCCCATGTACTCCTAACTGAGTTGGTCTTCCTGGGGTAAGCAGACCTGGAGTCAACAAGCTGCTTGGGGTCTCAGTGGATTGGGCTGAAGACATAGCCAGACATCCCTGCACCTGATGGTCCTTCAAATGTTTTCCAAGCTGACTTCCACCAGGAATAATTATTGTAGCAGCCTGAAGAACTAGGTACTGCTGCTTTTGCACTAGGTGGATCCCCACACTCAAATAAGACATTCCAACAAAGTCCTATTTTGGTTACTGCTGATAAGAAAACTGCCTGTAAACTCAATTCATTTGCAAGATAGAACATTAAGATGGGGTATCATAACTCAATTTCACAACTACTAAGTTCCTATGGGAGTGTATTATCTGCTATTTGCTAGTACAAGGTGTGGGAGCCTGAAATCAGTGAAAAAACAGGTCATGGACAACTACTTGTTTTTAATTAAAATCTGCATGCACAAGGGTGACTTTTGGATTTCCAGCCAAAAAATTTCAATTGACAAACACAAAAACATGACTGTCCACACAGGTGAAAGAAACAAGGTAAAACCAGGATTTTCTAGCAGCTTTTCTTTTCTATTTGCAACCCTCCACTTTCCAAGTATGCAGAATAAAAGCTTCTCAATTCTCTCCCTCAAGCAGAGCACACATGAACTTTCTGCAACATCTGCATGGCCAAAGATCAAATACAAAGCAATCAATAGTGTCATGTTTGACAGCCAATCATTTCAAACAACCAAGAGAAAATTGCTTTTATTTGAAAAGGAATAACAGAGCTGACTACAAAGGGTGAGATTCACTGCATTTAACTTCAGTACTCAAAAAGTCAAGGTGACATTAAGTTAGTCAATGGAGAGAACTGTCTTCAAAGAACTAGTCATTGACTTCCATCTTGAAGTGGGAAGAATCGCTCTTTGGAGGGACCCTGGAGAGAGCTTAGGTGAGACTCCCCTCTTACAGAGAGACAATGGTTGTTGAAATGCATCCTAAGTGTAGTGGCCATTACATTAAGGAGACATAACTAGGAGAATTTTAAAGTTGGAAAGAGAAACTGAGTATTTTCGAGATACAATTTCCTTACATGTTTGTTTAGATGAGAACAGAAATGTATCATAGAATCACAGAATCACAGAATAATAGAAGGGATCTTGGAAGGGATCTTTAAAGGTCATCTACTCCAGCCCCCCCTGCAGTGCAACCTTATCTTTTATTAGCTTGGTCGAGCCTGACTTTGAATGTTTCTAGGGATGGGACCTCCACCACCTCTCTGGGCAACCTGTTCCAGTGCTGCACTGCTCTCATAGTAAAGAACTTCTTCCTAATGTCTAATCTAAATCTACCCTGCTCTAGTTTAACACCATTGCCCCTTGTCCTGTTGCTACACACCCTTGTAAACAGCTCCTCCCCAGCTTTCCTGGAGGCCCCCTTCAGGTACTGGAAGGTGTTATACGGTCCCTGTGGAGCCTTCTCTTCTCCAGGCTGAACAACCCCAGCTCTCTAGAAGGGCCTCAAATCTTGACCTGAATCTCAGATCTGTCAGTATTTTGTCCTAGTCACTCTTCTGCTCAAAAATGTGTCCCTGCTACTTTGTTTGCACTTTTTTTGTGCCGTACATCCAGGTTTTTCTGCATTAGAGTGACAGGCTTTATATTAAAAGCAGCAATTCTCCTACGTTTAGAAACCCAGGAATTGAGTTAATTAAATAATAGACAAGCTTATAGGAACAGCTTATCCAGAATATCAGCTTATCACTGAATAAATATGGCATTTTTCATCAAATTCTGCACGGCTTCTTGGAGAAAGACAACAGAAAAGAACCATTCAGGTGAATATTTAATTTCTTTAGTTCCTAAAGAATGAGTCAAATAATGAAATGAAGCAAAACAATAATTAAAAAAGAAAAACTCCCACAAAGAAAAATGTTTTGTTCTCCTATTTTTCTTTTTTCCCCAATCTGCTCCATTTCTTAAGGCTCCCAAATAAAAGCAAACCCACTGAAGACTTACTTTGCTTTAAGTGTTTCCTCTTGGAAATTCCACTGAGGGTCTTCCACTAGCTGCAGTTCTCGTAAAACACTCCCTGGCTTGTAAGCTGCATTGATCACCATGCTGAGAACCTATTGAGAGACAAAATTGACAGCATTGATGGGTTTAAAAGTAGTCCTTGACCACACTGGGTAAGATTCCAGGTGCTGCACAGGCAGGAGAAGCTCAAAGGTGCCACTTTAGGTCCAAGGCTGCACAGGGTAAGTGCTATGTGCAATGAGAAGAGGTCCCAGAGTGGATCAACGTGCCAAATACATTGTAGGTGACACATCAGTCTGATATGGTGACTGCATGAAATGCTGCTAGCTAACCCCCCAAATCTTCTGTTAATCAGTGTTCTCACCCAAAGCAGATTCCATTCCCTGCATCCATACTGACTCTATTTAATAAAAGATAAAAATACTTCTGATGGCTCAACCAGGTACAAAGTGATGTGTACTGTTCCAGACTGAACACTGCAGGGGAAATTCACATACTTGAGGTCAGCAATATGCCTGAGTGTCTGAGTGCTGCGTGCCTTGACTGTATTAACAGAATATTAATGAAGTCTACACAAAACAGAGTTCACAGGAGGTGTGCCTGAAAACCAGTGTGTGTCCACTCTGTACAACAAAACACATGTGCCAATCCATTTAATCCAAAGTCTCTGAGAATAAAAATGATTCCTACTATTGGCTCAGGGAATCTAAGCTTTAATAACCTGCACTTGGCCTAAGGAGATAAATACATGAAACACAAATCTCTTAACAGCACCAGACCATGTGTTTGAACACTCTGCATTGTATGTACGTGAATGAACCGCTAGTGAGTCTAGATTGGTTTTGATATAATTTAGCTTATTATGTAACACCTTCTTAATTCTTTGGGGGCTTGCAAATGATTGCAGCACAAGGAGCTTTACCTTTCCCCAGCACCCATGAACATGGTTCACCAGAAACGAAAAGCTGACTAGGTGGTACTGCAATGTGTTTATGCTTTGGGGTTTTTTCCTGTTTTGTTTTTTGTTTGTTTGTCTGTTTGTTCAAATCCAGAAACCTAAGTACTTTCTAGCTCTTTAAAAACCTTGCAGGATTAATCTTTTTCAGGCAAGGGCTTCACTTAATGCTGCACAGAACCATGTCAAATGGTTTGAGTTGCCTGGCTAGGTTATTTACCAGAAGGAGTATCTGATTTATCATTGGGTTCTTGGAAACACTACTCAAGTTGCAGCTCTGATCATCTGAAGATCTCAAAGCACTCCATGAGGAAGAGCAGGAGTACACTTCCTATCTCACACAAGGAGAAACAACCACACAGTCACCCACAGCTCTCCAGCTGATTCCTCTCTCATCACACAACCCACAATACTAGTTGCTGAGCCATACTAGCTCCTAACTTCCCAGTGAGCCCATCCAGTCCCTCATTCACATCTTCTCTAGCCTGCTACTCCCCATACAAACTGATGGAGCCTCTGACTTTTTAAAAAACATCAAGGGCCTGGGTAGCTCCCACTCGCATTCATGACTACCATCAGATGTGTTCCTCTCTTGATTAGCAAATCTAGGGAGTTATTCAATGTCCAGGCATTGTTAGGAAAGCTCTCCTCAAGCACACTTCTACATCCACTCTGCTTGCTGGTGGGAAAAGTGGGAGCAGAAAGAAAGTGTCTCCTGCTGACCCATTCCCACAAACAGGGCTGCTCTGCTCCTTTATCAGGGTGATAGTGTTAGTATGAGTTGTCAGAACAGTTAGGAAATGAGCAAGAAAAGAAAACCCAACCCTGTAAGTAACAGTGTGGCCCTGCCAGGGCATTATCCCAGACACCTAATTAACTCCAGCCCTGCAAAGACACCCGCAATTCCAGGACTTTTCTCAAAGCTGGCTTGTCATCAGCAGGACTTGGTAAACTTCTAAACTCCATTTACAGAAGAGTGTTTTGTAAGAACAATCACTTCCCTTTAAGGGAATAAGAAAAGTTATTTTTAAAAAAGCTTTGGCTTTTACTCTTCTTTCATTTCAAGTAAGTGACTGGGTTTGGCATTTTACCCTACAGCAGGAGTTCATCACCATGTTAAGAGTGTTATCTTCTAACAACATTATCCCTTCATCTCACACACTATTAAAACACTAGGGAAAAAAAAAAAGAACACTGGTTCTTGTGGAAAAATTAACTGGAATTAAAGCAGAAATAGTGAAGAAACCTAGACCAGTTTCCAACTTTCCAGCTTCCAACTCTCTCCAGAGATGGAAAGTCACTTCACCCATAGCAGACTTGGCAAATTTTTATCTGTTTAACGAAATTCCTTTGCCTGCTAAGAGACCAGTCCAAGATTTTGGTAGTTTATTTTCAGCCCTTTTTATCAATAAAGGTTTGGGTGCAGACAGTGCTGCCTTGGATGAGAGGGTGGGTTAGACAACATAAGCCTTTGGTGCTGAACATCTATGAGGTTTTATGTGATACTGCTGAACTTTGGATTTTCAGCATCCAGGAGGTTGGAGTCACATCAGTGAGCATGATCAAACAGCACTGTCACAAGCCTCTACCAAGCTTATAAGCATACGACAGCTATAAAGTCCTCCATGTAATAGATTTTCAACTGCACAAGAGCTCTTTTATGAGCACCTCTAGACATGCCTGATGCCTCTGGGCAGTTCAGCATCTTTCTTCCCATCATAGCTTTTTCGTGCTCACGTATTTCCCATCTCTTTACCCCTCTTGGCAGTAATGGGCCCAACCATGGATGAAGCCTCCTCAGGAGGTACCACTATAAGGTGTGGTTCAAAATACCATCACACTTATTCTGTTCAAAAGCCCAATTATAAGCATCCTTATGAGCATTTTCTCAGTTTCCCTCCTCTATCTGAGATGTAAACCCACATCTCCTGCCTAATAGGAGAGACCCTGACTCCCAGGCTGGCCTCAGGCAGGACAGTAGACAGTTATTTTCTTTTCCTTGGAATAATGATGTGTCTGTGGGACAGAGAGAGAAAGAAAAAAAGAGCTCTTTGGGATTATTTCATTAGATGATCAATAATTTAAAATGAGATGATCAATCATCAGTGCCAAGGCTGAAACACTTAAGTGTCAATATGCTTATGACAGTCCATGGCATTTCAAAAACACAGATGGCCAGATCCTGAGTTGGAGGAACTAGTACAGATGAGATGAAGCCCACAGATATTAATGAACCTTCATGTAGAAATATAGTTTATATCTTTCCAGACTACAGAAGGCTTCTGCCATTCCAGCACCATATCTGATCACTAATGATAGTGCTATCAGCCCGGCCCCATCATACACCTAAGGCTCAGTACAAGCTACTTAATTTTCTGAGCATTGTGATTTAATTATGCAAATTTCTCCTAAGAAGTCATGCTGTGCTTCAAAAAATTCAAGCTGCAAAGTGCAATAGCCTTCCTTCACAAATGCTGGCTGATTCCTCCTGTATGCATCAGCTAGACAGTCATATTACCTTTAAGTCCATTTTTGCTTTAAATAAAGAGCAGTCTGAAAAAATAGTAAGAACAGTAAGCAATGAGGCTAATTAATTTTTACAGCATATTTCCTTAAGATATGGTGGGGTATAGATCATCTGAAGTTTTTAAGAGGCATGTCATTTGGTTTTACAATGTTGCCATAGTAAGTTGTTGGCATAGATGGAAGAACTGTTCAGAAGTATTTTTTTAGACATTCTGACTCAAGACCCAAATCTAAAGCTGGCAATGAGTTTATTTTAGTAAAACTTAAAGTTAGAATTTATTACAGATCTTAGCTACTACACAGTCACTGTTTTTCAGCTCAGATGCAGCCGTCGGATGGCAATAGTTGATGTCTCAACTACACTTGGCTCCAAGTTTCAACAAGTATCTCAGGAATGAGATAAACTGATGTTAAACAACAGGCATTGGCACCTCACTTGCCTCTTGGGGTGAAAGTAACCACAAGAAACCACTGGTCTCAGCAGAGACTTGTGCTGGCACCAGGAAAAATGAACAGCCAGGATTTAAAAATAGCCTGGCACTAGTCAGCACAAGAGTTACTTGTCACTCGTCTCAGGCTTTGCACAGATGGAACAACACACGTACACAAGTGCACACTGAATTCAAATCAGTATTTTTGGTCATGCTACCAAAGAAGCTGCAATTGCTCTCAGGGTTTTGCTTGGAAATCTCACTCAAGGTTCTGCCTCTCTGGAGGGCACCTTAGCCGTTTCCTTCCTGCAGAGCTCACAACCCAACACTGGAACAAAGCAATTTGGCAGAAGTCAGAGGGAAGCAGTAAGAAGGCAGAACTTGGCAGAAATGCCTGTTCTGCTGGAAAAGGGGCACTACACAAAAGCAAACCTATCTGAGCCACTTCTCTGCCAACACCTCAGGTCAGGAGAACAGCCCAGACTACCCAAATGGAAGGAGATGCTCCTACACCACACTATAAAGATATCTCCTAACCTTGTTTAATCCAGAGACAAGCAGACACAAAGCCATCTCCTCGATAATGTGCCTGCTGGTAGCACCAGTTTGTGTGGAGCTGGATTCAGTTTGATCACTTCATCAGTGATGGAGGTAAGGAAGGAGAAGACATTGGGGTAAAACAGGGCTGAGGAGCACCATGAACTCCAGTTGTGCTGCATTTTTTCTTACATTCCTCATGGTTGAGTGTGAAGGAAGGCAGTAAATGGGTGCTACTCACTCAGCATCCAGCCAGGAGCAAGGTCCCCCACTACCTGGTGCTGGGAGGGGAGGGCATCTTGTCTCTCCTTGCTTTAGAGGTAATTCAGGCCAGGGAATGGGGTAGGAGCAGCATCTCCATCAAGGAAAATGCTGCCCAACTGTGAACTGGCTGGCAACTGGCACAAATTTTTAACTAGAGTATCTCTAAAGACAATGAGTACTGGCTGAAGACCAGGGCAATTTAAACAGCTCTGCCCAGACTGCTACTGTCTCCATTCTTCCTTCATAGCTGTTGTTTTGAGTCGTCTTTCCCACCTTCCCCTGTGTGTTCCCAAAGTAAAGCCCATGTATAATTTATCTATTCAAGACAAGTTATGCTGATGCATAATTTACAATGGCCTGCAATTTGCCTACACAGTGAGAGAGAGATAATTATAATGAGTTTGAATTCTCAGGGCCACATTATCAGAGAGTGTAAAGTGAGATAAAGGCATAAAGCTCAAGACTTTGAGCTTTATTTGGGTTTGGAGGGATGGGGACCCTTGTGAGCTGTGGTCTCGGGCTGGAGGGGGTATCTCCTGCATTGTGCCCACCACTCAGCTCTTCAGCTCTTTTGGGTGCTCCAGCAGCTGCTACAGATATTAATCCTGACACACAAATGCCTTCCTTGCTACTTCTCATCTCCTCCAGGTGCTGGATACCCCTCACCCCTGTCCATGGTTCTCTGAGTTGCTGACACCTCTCTTGTCTCAGCAGCAGCTGATACGTCTTCTCTTCACCCTTTCCAGAATCTGGACCTGGTCCACGTGGCCAGAATGCACTTGGCAATTTATTTGCAAAATAACACTGACCAATGCTGGGCCACTGTCATTGTCCTGCCTCTTGGGAAGTTGTTCATGTCTCCAAAAGCAAGATGCCCATGTCTCACTGACACTACTATTTGCTCCTTCAGCAAGCAATTCTGTAAGGAGGCAGAGCAAGAGAAAATTATCATTCTCTAAGAAACTCAGGTTGGTTTACACAGCTGGTAACTGTTCCCAATCTTGAGGAATTTGAAGAAGCTGGTGTTAGCCTATGCAGCAAAGCCCCAAGATACTAGGGGAGGGCCTGACAGAAGCTTAGCACTATTCATGCTTCCAAAATCCAAATTCCAGGAGGAAAGGAGGAAGAAACATTAGCAAAAGTATTGACTGTGCACGCCTCATACCTCCCCCATGTTGCTTTTTCATTGCCTGTGTTTCAAGCAGCAGCAGATTGCTAATGCTCCCCATCAGCTGCCATGGACCTCCTTTCAAATTTGGCAGCTGCCAACTTTTGCTCTGCAACCACCTGACTCTGCTTTCTGCTGAGGGCTGGTTTTGACTTGCTTCTTTGAGATCCAAGTGTCTCACCTGCCCAGAGCCTGACTACTGGGTGTTCTCAGAGCTCAGCTTTCAACCACGAGACAACCAGCAGTGCTGCTGGGTATAAAAGTACAGAGGTGTTTTCAAAAGCAGTGGGTTATCTAGGAGGAATCTCACTTTTTCGGTCTGTTAAGAGCTAGGATTCATCTCATTTCAGACCACTGCAAACATCCTGAGCTGGGCACCAAGGATCTTGCTGGTGCATCAGAAAACCAGAGTCCTAGAGGTTCTCATGCCTTTCCACCCAGGGCAGAGGAAGCTCAGGTATGCCCCTGCACCCACATCAAGAGGGATTCATGTATGTACAGACCAGAAAGCAGGAAGATCTCAATTTCTAGACAACCCAAGTTAAACTGAAATGATGCCCAAGGCACCAACAGCATTTTGCTTATCCAACAGTACCATCTTGCCTCTTATTTGTATACTGACTGTAAGGTGCATGGAAAATGTTTTCAAACAAGCCAGTTTCTCTCTGAGGTCAACAGAAAGAACTGAACACTCTGGATTTGGCCCAAAGCAAGCATTGATTGAGTCAGGATGAAGTACACAGGTGGTGTTGTTCTGCCATCCCTGCTGTGTGGGATCAACCCACCCCTATCCAGCAGGAGCTGGACACACCACAGCTTCCAGTCAGCACATCACACCCCTGCTCGGTCTTCTGTCCTGTTCACTTTGGATCCTGATGGTCTGGGCCTCCTCAGGCTATGGTCACACATAGAAAGGTGTCACCCTCACTGAATCAGCTGGCCTCCCCATGGATGCTGAGAAACAGGTTGATAGTAACAACCACAGAGGTCTTCTTTGGGAACAGCTCTGGTCAGAACATGAATTGTCTTGCACACAGATGAAATTTGCTCCCAAGCAACAAAACTCCCCACACTTCAAAAATGTCACCTCTCCCATCAATACCTGCAAGTCATATACCTACCCTCTCCTCCCAGCTTGCAGCTTGGACTTACAGAAACCACTGCAGAGCTCTGGACAATTTCAGGTGCTGCCTTTTCAAATTTTGGGCCTGGCAACCCACGCCCCATGTTCTCCCCTGAAATCCCCTCAAAAGATAGCTCAGCCATACCTCTTTGAGGACCAGCACACACTTGCCAGGCCCGACAGACTGAGGTAGCTCTGCTATTCTGCCTTTGTTTAAATATGGACCTGAAAAGCAGCGGTGGTTGATGAAGAGCTGGGGGCAGCAGTATCTCCCATTGATGGTGCCTGCAAGGAGAAAGTAGCAGTGATGTGCTTGTAGCACTTCTGTACAATAAACCAAGGGCTGTTCAACCTCCTTGATGAGGGGAGGAGGGGAGAAGAGCAAAGGAACAACAAGCCTTCCCTGAGATAGAGAGAAGGTAGAGAAGCCTCTGCTACTCAAATCCATCTGATGGGGGAAAAGCCATTGCTTTTAATAAGCAACTGATTTGGCTGCACACCCTAACAAAAGGAGAATCTGGAAAGGATTTTATTCATAACAGGACCCAAGGTTCTTTTATAATTCACATTGCAGACGGACGTGAGTGAATCAGTAGCAACAGAACAGAAAGGGAACTTATCAGCTGCCTCACAGATATGGAATCAGCTCAGGGAGAAAATTCAGGAAGAATTTTCAAACCCCTCTTCCTCCACTGTCCCAGCCAGTAAGCACTATGGTGCCATTCCCCTGACCCAATGTGGGTCTATGGAGCACTTTTCTGACTAAATACTCTGGGCTGTAAAGGAGAGAAGTGGGCACATCTAGATGCCACTGATGTGCCACTCAAGTGGTTATCCACTTTTTGGTTCCCATGCCCAAAAAGAGCCTGCTTCTCCCCATTTGATTGTAACGGGGCCCTGGGATGTTGGCTCAGATGCCAATGTGTGCCCTGCAGTCTGCTGAAATAAAGTGAGTTAAATCCTGTCCCTCCTGCAGAGTCTATGCAATTAACTGAATGAATATTGCACTAGGGGAGCCTCTTGCCATTGCTAAGGGGGAAAAAAATTTGCCTTTAGCAGAAGCAGCAGCCATGCCACACAGTCATGATGCTAACCCCATAATTTCTGGTGTAAGCAATTTCATTGATGCCAATTAAAAAGTCGCATCCCTCTCCACCAGGACTTCATTAGCCTGGCCCTAACGAACATCATTAGCTCAAATGGGCAAGCTGCAGGGGAACTCTGATAGCCCCAGCAAGACATGATGTTCACATGGGGAGGACCAGACCCTCACATGCTGTACATCAGAGACTCCACACCACCTCACACCCCTGGAGGATGTGATCCCATCTCCCCACCCATATGACACACTCATTGCCTTTTTGGGGTCATCCCCCTCCATACAGGCATCAGGTCCTTGAAATAAGGATCCTAGTGGTGCTGAGCAGCCTTACCTGTTGTGTCTGGCTGAGGAACTGGGCAGAGGTCATGAGGTATTTTCTCAACAGGCACTGTGGATGGTAACCTGTTCAACAGCAATTCAGTGGATTTAATAGTCAGATGGGGCAAGGGGGCAGAACCAGTGTGTAGGCTGGACCAAGAGATAAGCCAGCACCTGCCTGGAATGAGGAATGCAAACCTGCTTCCACGTGGTTTTATCATAGCCCAGGGACAGTATATGGCAGAGTCACAGAGTCACAGTCTCACTGGGTTTGGAAGGGACCTCTGAAGATCACCCAGTCCAACTCTCCTGCCAGAGCAGGATCACCCAGAGCACATCACACAGGAACATGTCCAGGCAGGTTTTGAATGTCTCCAAAGAAAGAGACTCCACAACCTCTCTGGGCAGCCTGTCCTAGTGCTCTGTTACTCACCCAGTAAAGAAGTTTTTCCTTATGTTTAGCTTGACCCTCCTGTGCTCCACCTTGTTCCCATTGTCCCTTGTACTGTCATTGGACACTAAGGAAAAGAGACTGGTCCCATCCTCCTGACACCCACCCTTTAGGTAATTATAAGCATTAATGAGATCCCCCCTTAGTCTCCTCTTCTCGAGGCTAAACAGATCCAGCTCTCTCAGCCTTTCCTTAAAGGACAGATGGTGCATCTCTCTAATCATCTTTGAGGCCCTGTACTGGACTCTTTCCAGTATTTCCTTGTCCTTGCTGAACTGGGGAGCTCAGAATTGGACACAGCAATCTAGATGCAGCCTCACCAGGGCAGAACAGAGGGGGAAGACAGAGTCAGATCCACTCCTCCTCTAACAGTATACTCTGGTCTGTGAGCTTTAGCTCTTCAGGCTACAAATATTTAATCTCAAATCCCTTTAATTCTAGTTTCTAGAAACCCCAAGGGCTAGACAGGGAAATACCCTCCTGGTACACGTCCATCTTCCATAAGCATCCCTTACTGGCCATCAGATGCTCACTACAGAGTCCTAGATAGTAAAGAAAACCTACTACAAAGACTTTCTAATAGATTCATAAATACTCTTGAGTTAAAAGAATCCCCCTGCTGACCCTGTTGCAGTATCAGAGAGGTGACTGTGCCCCTGTACTCAGCACTGGTGAGGCCACACCTGGGGTATTGTGTTCAGTTTTGGGCACCTCAGTTCAAGAGAGATCTCGAGGTGCTGGAGCGAGGACAGAGGAGGCAATAAAGCTGGTTAAGAGCCTAGAGAATAAATCTTACAGAGAACTCTTGAAGGAGCTGGGAATGTTTGAGGAAGAGGAGGTTGAGGAGAGACCTCATCAGTCTCTACAACTACCTGAAAAGTCATTGTAGAGAGGTTGGTGCTGGTCCCTTCTCATAGGTCATTAGCGACAGAACAAGAGGGAAGGGCTTCAAGCTGCAACAGGGCAGGTTTAGACTGGACATTAGGAAAAACTTTTTCACAGAAAGAGTGGTCAGACACTGGAATAGGCTGCCCAGGGAGGTGGTGGAGTCACCATCCCTGGATGTGTTTAAGGATCATCTGGATGTGGTGTTGGTGGAGATGGTTTAGGGGAGAACTTTGTAGAGTAGGGATGATGGTTGGACTCAGTGATCCCAAGGGGCTTTTCCAACCAAAACAGTTCTGTGATTCTATGATTCTATCTGGGCAGCAGTTAGCAAAGTCACTCAGCTGCTGAGTATCATCTCCTCCGGAAGACCTGATGCATTCTAGTAAAAAGACAACTTTAAATAACAAAAACTTACTGCTTTTCTGGCTGCACAACTGCAATTCTCCTCTTCCTTCGCACTGCAAAAATCAAACAAGGAAGGAAAAAGTCTTTTTGTACTCTTCTGTCCTATAAAGTACACCCATCATGCATAAAGAGCTGTATAAATGCACTGCCTATAAAATGACTTCTAACAGAATGAAATGGTACTTAATTACTATCGTCATCTTTCCTTGGTATTTTTTAAGTAAGTCACTACATCATTAAAACCTACTTTAAAGATGTAATAATACATCTAATCCTTCCTCTGGAATGTTAATATCGTGTTTTATGGGATCAGCCTAAAAAAAAAGATTTAAAATAAAAACACAAATATTTTTCCATACAGAAACACATATGGATAAGATTACATTTTACAAGCATGATTACCTCCAGCATAATTTATCCCTAGCTATAAATTGTGATAAGGCTGCATAATGTTGCCATAGCAGTATTCTGCCAAATTAGGCCCCAGCTGCCTGATTTTTAACTTAACCATATTTAAGTCTTCAAAAAGGGTTGACACATTCTTAAATTTGCCTTTCGGATGTTAATTAATGTAAGCAGCAAGGCTCAGTTTTCGACTGGTGGCTTGAGATCAGGGTTGGATAGCTTCTGTGAGGAACAAGAGAACACCAAGCCACTGAGCACTCATGAACTGCCTTCAAATGCAAACTGAAGGTTAAGAAATTGCTCTTAATAGGTATTGGAGGCAGGAGAAATGCTACAGGCTTCACTGTACTGGGAGATATTTAAATTAAACACTAGGGAAATCTCTGAGCTGGTAAGGGCACTGACAGATACCCTGACAAAGGGCTGAAACACCATCACAGGAGGACAGCAAACATTTCTTAACTTAGATGGAGCACCTGTATGGCCTCTTTATGTCCATTCCACTATGTATTTGTCTATTTTTTAATTATTTTTTTTCTAATAAGAGGTCCTGGGTCTCTAGTTCACTCAGGTGCCTGAGTGAACTTGGCTCAGAGCAACAAAACCTGGTTTCACTCCCATAATCCCATCCCAAACCCACTGAGCAATCCCAAACCCACTGAGCAATTCCAAAGCATGTAACAGCCTTTCCAGTGCAAACAATCCCATTTTTACATGAACTGATCACACAGGCAACTACAAATTGCATAATACCAGTGCTGCAGAGCCTGGTCACTACGTAGATTTATTCCTATTTATTACAGTGCATTTACAGTCTGGTTACCTGTCTGCTAGTTAGGTTGGTAGTTTCAAGAACTGGTTTATAGACATAAGACAATGATAAACCTGCTGATGTAATATCTATGAGGCTTGAGGTTTCCAAGTACTTACACACAGCTTTGTGTGGTGGAGTCAGGTTATATGCATTCGCTTCACACCAGCCAACAGGGAAAATGTCCATAGACTCTACATCAACTATGTACTCTGGAGAGGGCATCTGTAAACCTATAAACACAAATTTATAAGGTAATTTAGACAGGGGAATACTGAGCTCAGAGCCATTCCAGCATTCATCATGAGCCAAGGGGAGTAAATGATGGAACACGACAAAATAAATCTGCTTCCCTGCATCAAAGTCAGGCACCATTTCATCTTCAGTTCTGCACAGGCAGCAATGATAAGGTTGTTGCATTTACAGTGCAACGTGATTCCAGAGAAAATCCCCACTCAGAGCACTCTAAGGGTGAGCAGCAAAGCTGTTAAAAGCTCATAAGGTTAAGCATGATGACTTTCCCCAGCACAACAGCCTGACCAACCCCTTGTTTTTCTTTGTAGACTTGGACAAGCAAGTTTGCAGAAGGCCAGTTGGGTGCTTGCTCTTACTGGTAGGAGAGTACACATGGGCTGTAACAGGATGATAGCTAATCTAATGGTCCTTTATTCCCCAACACCCTACTAAAGCTTTTTTGGGTAGTTCTGTCCTTGAGTCACTGTTTCTAAGGGCGGGTGATGACTACTCTTTTACCTAGAGATGCCATGAATTCTCCTAGGGCTCCTCACTGCACATGAAACATGAGATGATCACTCAACAAGGGAGAGGTGGTATAAAAACCACCAGTGGGACAGATGCTAAGGCTGAGAAGGTTGGGATTGTTCAGCCTGGAGAAGAGAAGGCTTTGGGGAGAATTTAGAGCAGTCTTCTAGCACCTGAAGGGACTACAGGAAAGCTGGGGAGGGACTTTTTACAAGGGCATGGAGTGATAGGATGAGGGGGAATAATTTTCAGTGCAAAGAGGGGAGATTTCAATTAGATATTGGGAAGAAATTCTTCATTATGAGGATGATGAGACACTGGCACAGGTTGTCCAGAGAAGTTGGGGATGTCCCATTCCTGGAAGTGTTGAAAGCCAGGTTGGATGGAGCAACCTGGTGTAGTGGGAGGCATCCCTGCCCATGCAGCAGGGTTGGAACCAGATGATCTTTGAGGTCCCTTCCAACCAAAGCCATTCTATGATTCTATGATCTCTGGTGCAACGCTGCTTCCGAACACAACACTGCAAATCTCAGCTTAAAACAAATCTTTTCTAGTTTGGTTTCTATGTCTTTTGAAAACAACTCTGGGTCCTGAATCAAGATACCATTTAATTACTCCAATTCAAGTCTGTCTGTGCCATCACAGCCTGGCCAGCAACTTCACCCCCCTCTGCCACTTCCACCCTAGGACCTACAGCTCCAGCACCAGCATGAGATGATCTCCTAATAAAAGAGACCAAAGGATCAGCAGCTTCCCCTGCAGCATCCTCACTTTTGCATCTGTTACAGCATCTTTGCCTCCTGCTTAATGCAGCAGTGTTTGACCGTGCACAGCTCGATGACTACGGGGAACTTCCCACTAATGAATGTTCATCAGGAACCTGCAGTGTAATTGAAGCAATAATTGAACTTTGTAATGGGAATGGCACCTAGGCTGAGATGCAGCATTTGGCTCAATCTTGGCTCTAGTAATAAACTTGCTGCACTTTGAGAGTATGAAAACCCAAAGGAAGCAGGAAAATAGTGGCTGGTGCTCACACTGCTGGGGGAAATGATTAAATAAAATGAAGTGATGGCATGTGCATAGATTCATGGATGTCTTCATGGTCTTTCTGTGAGCCCTGCGTCATGCTCACCTCTTATACATTGAAGATTCAGTCTGTGTTTCACTGGGATACGATGAAAGGATGAGGATGGGAAGAAGGCACATGACACAGGACACAACCTGCCCATATGAGCAGCTGAGCCTCAGTGCAAGGTGTCAGCAGCTGGTATGCCCTGCAACACCACTTCCTTCCACAAGAAAATATCAACTGGCCACTGCTCAGTTTGAATGTGACAAAAGCTGTACCCTCCAGTGGGGAAGACATTTTTGGCTAATACCTCCAATCCAGCCAAGGAGCTGATGTGAGAACTGCTGAAGACAGTGTCAAGACATGCACGAAGTGACCAAGCCATGGATCAAGCCCTCAACAGAGCAGATCAACACAGTCCTCACTGAAATGTCACCAGATCTGGGAAAATCCATGATTTTGTAATGACTGAAACTGTTCCATGGTGTTATTCTGACCAAATGAATGACCTAACGTACTGTCCTCCTTGCAAGCAATAATAGATGTGACATGAACATATTAAGTTTATAGCTGCAGCCAACCTGACAAGGAAGGAAGCATCATAATGTCTGTTCTCCTGCAGGAACACCATTCCTCTTGTAGGACACATTCACAGCTACTCTGTCCTCCCAGGCACTGCTGCTTCCCTTTGGCAATCAGTAGCCCTGCTTTCCACCCCCAACATCTTACAGCTTCATTTGGCATTACTCATGTAAGTGGAAAACAGCTTGATTGAGATTAATTTGTTTCATTTGCTGCATTTTATGCTGCCATCTTCCCACACTGACACGTCCATGAGACTCGAGAGGTAAAATGTGAGGATGAGAATAGGGAGACTGGAAATAGGGGGATTGGTTGAGGAAAACATCCAGCTCCTGCTACGAACCTTAAGCAGAATAAAACATTAACTCTGCAAAACTCTCCAAGGGAAAATTATGGGAAACCTCCCCGGAGAAGTGATTAACAAAAGGGTTTTCCTCTAATTCTTAGGCTGTGCAGAGAATGCACATTATTACTTGTATAAATTCACACCAGAAAGATTCAGCTTTAAAATCTAAAATGAACCAGTAAAAATTAACAATGCAGATGATGAGTAATAAAGTAGCAGAAAGTGGTGGGATGTGCACAGCCTCGGATCAGCCCTACACTTCTCTTCCACCACGGGGGAACTACAGCGCTGCTCATTAAATGCTCACCCTGAAGTTTACAGGGTTCTCCTACTGTACAAAGCAGTGATTTATTAAGCAATGTTCCCTCACGTCTAACTCGATGCTGCTTAACTACTGCCTCCTGGTTTATGGCTGCAGTTTGGGCTGTCACACAGTGAAACTGGGAGGGCAACAATGAAAGCTTCAGATGCGCCCATGATAAATGGTGGGACCCGAGGTCTTCAGCAACGGGCTCCCATGGTAGCTGAGGAGTCTTGCTGCTTCCAGAATATAAATAATCAGTTAGAAACAACAGGGTATTAATGGGGTAAAAGACCAAAACATGCCACGGTTCAGCCACATTCATTTTACAACTCTGCAAGCAGGGTGTTGGTTTTTTTAACGTCTAGTTGGAGTGTAACACTTTGCGTGCTCTAGTTACACATTTCAAAAGCAGCAAAGGTTTTTTCTTGTTTTTGCAGTCTTTTGCATCTTTTACTACAAGTCATTCCACTCCTGGTACTGAGATATAAGCCAAAGCATTTATATATGCAAACTCCAAAGACAAGGAGATGCACAAAGGCTTTTTTATGATGAGCTGTAAAACATATTCTTTATTAAAGAGTAAAAAGCAGGGAGAAAGAGATAAGGGAGGGGAGTGAGGTGGGAGTGTGTGGCTCTCTCCCTGCCTCTATCCAGGCTTTTGGAAGACTAGCTGATTTAAAGAGCCAAGACACAGCACTTCCTATGCATGATCATGGGCAAGAGTTTAGTGAACACTGAGTCCCTTTGAAAGCATTACAGCTTAGGGGGAAAAAAAAGCATTCTCAAACCCTAAAAAATCTGCATATGCAAGTGAAGGCACCTGGCCATTTAAGAAGGGAAGTTGCCAAACTGGGGCAGCTTCCTTGACCAGATGGATGTAAATATGACAACAGCCTTAATGAGAACTGAATTTCAAATTAGAATTAATTCCAGCTCTTTAACAAAAGTATTTGCCATGTTCCCAGACCAGGCTGTAGATGAGCTTTTGCCACCTCAAGTCAGAAGGAAACCAGTTATCTCAGATGAAAAAAAACCAACAACATCGCACACAGCTCAACCAAAAGCAAAGATGCAAAGTTGTATCTGCTCTGCATGTTGCAGATAACCACAGAGGAGATAAAATGCCTGGGTTGACAGCTCTATGTCAGGGGCAGAGAAGGATGATGACCCAGCTCTCCTACAGCCCCCACCAGGAGACACACCTGCAGCCTTGCTCTCCCCAGGCTCAGCCATCCCACAAACCACAAGGCTCGGCAGCAAAGTCACAAGAAGCTCGAATGATTTGGGCTGCAAGCTTTAGGTCAGGAGGAATCTCTCTTTAGGTAGAAACTGAGTCATAAATCTCTGAGAATTTATCATGGAGGCATCAGGAGAGCTTTCTCTACTGCAGAATGGTACTTTTGTAGAGCTAAACACCACAAAACATTTGCCTTTCTTATATTTTAGAGCAAGCTGCTAGCACAGTTGAGGTACTCTGGTTTATCTGACACTGCTTTTACTGACTGTAAGGGCTTTGATTAGAGACCTTTCCTCTTGTACAAATGGCCCTGTGCATAGCCAGATGCTGAAATACTTCTGGAGTTATTATAGTCCACACAACACGATGCCAAAGCTGATGTGGCCGGTGATGGTGCAACCAGTACAGTTCCTATCAACCTGGCTTCACTTGCTTCCAGCTCCAACAGTTGAGAATTGAGCAACTTGCAGAGGAGGGAAAGTGATTTTTTTTGTGCAGATGAGGCTCAAGCCTTCATCTCACATAGGATTTATGCAAGAACCCCTTGTCATGACCCTTGTTCCTCTATCCTTTGCTAAAGCCATATGCTTGACTATGGTTTATGCCCCCATTAACCCTTTCCTAGCTGCTTTACCATGGAAGGTCAAAATAAAACTGCATTAATCTCTGAGAATTAGGGTTCACACTGCTTTTGCAGAAACAAACTTAACAGCAGCCTGGATTAAATGTACTTCAGGAGAAGTATTCATAAGCCAGAATATTGACCCCATGGGCCATCAGAGAAGACATGAGTGACTCCTTTTCTCCCTCCCACCTCCTGTGACAGAGATCCCATGGGACAGGCAGGTGTCACTGAGTTTAGCAAAGGAGACTTGATCTGTTTTCCTTTCAATTCTGCTCTCTGCAGGACACCTCTGCAACCTGAAGCTC